TATATATATATATATATATATATATATATAGCGCTTACCGCTTATTACTTAAAAAACTGCTTAAAATAAACGTAGAAATTTATCAAGAGGGACACATGGTGCCCGGTAGCTTTTTTGGGTTTCCTACAAAAGCTATCATGTCGTTTACAAAGTCACATGGCACACTGCTGGTGGCATACTTCTTGGGCTGCATGTGCCAGGCAAATAAGTGCCAAGGGATGAATGAGAATATAACTACCAAGGCAGTCATTTTGACCGTTTTTAAATTTTGCAATGTAATAACTTTGTTGAAATAAAACCCATATAACTATAATAGCCTGATTTTTCTTAAATGTGTGTATATTTTATTCTAACATTGTTATTGTATTAAAATTACAAAACACAAAAGAGGTCTGAGTATTTTTACCTTGAATGGCCAAAGCGTATAAATTGACTGTACACATTACAGATGGCATATAATTTCAGCTTTTGCGACTTTATCCCGCGGTTGAAGATGCACGTCACTGTTGCCTAGCAACTTTAGTTGTTTTTGTATTCTACTGCTAAGCTAAAATTCCAGTCCATAAAAAAAAGCTGGGTGGACACCTCCAATTCGACAACTGCTGTCATTCAATCTGCCACGGTTCCATGTAGCCTGGCTGTTATCAATAATATGTATATGTTATGACAAAATAGCCATTATTATTATTATGTTAGTGCAGCGTCGGCACCACGGGGGGGCCTGGCCCAGCCACCTCGGTCACTGTGCCCCCTCACCTCTGGTGCCGCCTCCGTAGTGGGCGCCCTGATTTTAGTCGGTGGTGCCTGCCCCCTCACTTTGTGCTCTCTGGCGCCGACCCTGTGTTAGTGTAATGCTATAACTAATGCATATAGGCTAATTTTACCCCTGACAAGACTGCTATTGTGAAATAAAACAAATTAGGTTGTTTTTTTTTGCGACAGTGACAATGTTTATTATTACCTATACTATCATAACAGATCCATTTATTCATGGATTATGATTCCAGTGGTGGCTGCATAGAATTGTTTCCTATTCGTGTGATTCAAACATTTCAAATAACTCCAGAACGTTGTAACGTATAAAACTCAAAATGTATTGAAAAAAGATATATGTAATCATTTCCAAAACACAACATGTTTTATCTACCGAAATATTTGTTGGCATTTAGACTTTCAAATACAACATTTTCACTGCGGTGAAAAACCTTTGCTCTCCTGCTTGCCGGACTCAAAGCGAGACAAGCACATTCAGGAGCGGTCTAGTAGCTCTTACACAATTATATATTTCAAAACATATCATATTTTTTTTATGGTGATGACTTCATAAAATATGACGACAGACATTCAAAGCTTCATTGTAAAACCTCAAAAGAAGCTTCAAATATAAATATGATATGACAAAAATGGCATTCAATTCAGTCTAGTATGAACGGTAAGAATGACCGCTATGGCCATTCTAGTAGTTATATAATTCCAGTAGTTCTAGTGTTAATGAATAGCTCTCTTATGGTACATCAGTGCTCCTTGAAGTGTTAGTTGTCTGCATTTGATAATAGCAGAGCCAATGTGTTCATGCATAAAATGAGTTAAGTTCAGTAATTTAGTAATGTTACATTGAAATGTTACTATGTGTGATTTATTTTATGTACATATTTTTATTTTTAGAGAAAATAGCCATTTTTAATATCTGCCATAACATGAAAATAATTATCAGCTTATTGTTATGTGACAAACTTTTAATATTGGTACATTCCTAGACGTAGATGTGTAAGTGAAACAGGAATGAGACTAACCCAAAAAGAAACCAGTCATATGCGATAGTCAGGTAAAGGATCTCAGACGGCTCTAGACTGGCATGAATGGCACGGTCCTATAAAAATGCAAAATGTATTAATCACAAAGAAAGGTAAAGAAAGGAAAGAGGGGAGGGAAAAGAAATGAGGATATTTAGCATGGTGGAGTGAATAAAGATATAAAATGAGGACATATGTAATGAGAGACAGAGGAATGAATACTTACCGCCCACAACGAAAGTCTGAGCAGGGATACAAAGAGAGGTGTCCTGTCCCAGCCTGATATACAGTGCACCAGTAAACCGTTCTCATCTGCAGGCCACAACACTCTAAATAGTTATCCAAAATTATACAGAGAAGTAAAACCTGTTCTATAGTTCAGCAAAGACGTTTGTGAAAGTGCAGTAATTTACCATCAGAGTTGATGATGTGTAAAAGCAGTTTCAGGTAGTTCTGAGTCTGCTGCACCAGGTCCCATGACTGAAAAACATACACACATAATCTGAGTCTGTGGATCACCATCCAGCATTCTTTATTAACCTTTGTCAGCGAATTAACCATCACTGTTCATTGTGTCTACTAATAAACAGTGATAATTATTTTTCATTTACTTTTGTGAAGACACCCAAAAGCTACTGTTCAATGTAGTACTCTCACACCAGGAATACATTTATATATATATATATATATATATATATACAGTGTTGGGGAAAGTTACTTTTAAAAGTAATGCATTACATAATTGCGTTACTCTATAAAAAAGTAACTAATTACATTATTTAGTTACTTTTTATGGAAAGTAATCAATTACGTACGTTTTGCATTACTTTTTAAATCTGGACAGGGCTTGCTTGTTTGTTTTTAAAATAAAAAAGTTATATTTTTGGCAAATATAAAAGCCTTTTCACACCAAAAGTGAAATGAATAAGCCTCAGGCTGAAGGGAAAGTAAATTTACGTCCGTACAGTAGAATGCAGAAGAAGAAATTTCAACACACTTCAGCAGTAAAAAAAGACACACAAATGTTTGGCTAGAGTCATTTTTGCTTATTAGTATGGTTGAACTGGATCATCGAAGGTCAGAAGCAAAGACATTGGTTAATAGAATGGGATTAAATACATAAAGGATATTTGTGTTTTTTAACATTTAATTATTGCAGGTTTGCATCATATTCTGAGTTGCATTATTTTTATTCATTTTGAGGAATACTGAATCTGTGTATTTTTTTTTGTGTGAGTGAGATGAATTAATATATATTAATTTTTTTTTTTTTAGAACTACAGTAACATCTTCTGATTTCTCTCAACATGGGGACAGGAGAGCTGTCAGTCAATAAATTGGAAAAAAAAGTAACTTGCGTTACTTATTTGAAAAAGTAACTTAGATATTCTCTTGTAAATTAAAAAGTAATGCGTTACTTTACTAGTTACTTGAAAAAAGTAATCTGATTACGTAACTCACGTTATATATATAAAGTGTTGGGGAAAGTTACTTTTAAAAGTAATGCATTACATAATTGCGTTACTCTATAAAAAAGTAACTAATTACATTATTTAGTTACTTTTTATGGAAAGTAATCAATTACGTTACTTTTGCATTACTTTTTAAATCTGGACAGGGCTTGCTTGTTTGTTTTTATATTTTTGGCAAATATAAAAGCCTTTTCACACCAAAAGTGAAATGAATAAACCTCAGGCCTTGACATCAATTACTAAACTATGTTTGACAAAAACGCTACCAATTTAATTCAAATTATCTAAAAAGATGGAGACATTTTGCAGGTAGTGTAGCCTGCTTCAACACATTTTTATTGCAAAGCCAACCAGAGTTTTTAGATCCAGCTTGTGCCATTTCCTTAAACCCAGTCAACCCCTGTCTATCTAAAAGAAAATGCATGAGAGACTCGGAGTACCTGATATTCACTCCAGTTGATGTTGAGGTTTCTTGTAAAGAAATCAGGGATTGTCAAAGGAGCATCCACATAGTCCTAAACACGCACAACCAAAAGTGATGGTCAGTGAAAAATCAAATGCACTTAATTAAACGGTTTCTCTTAAACCTCTCTGGCCAAACAACAACCCAGCCTGATATGCAGAGATATGAAAGTGACTTTAATAAAGCAATATTTTTTTTTCTGTTTGTGCTTGGTATGGACCTGATTCCAGTTGAAGACAAGCCCTTCTGCTGTGTAATCTCTGTCTTTATATTCCCTGAAGAATTCACATCCTGAAAAAAAGCACATGAAACAACTTAAATTACAACTATAGTGTAACAATTACTTATACCATAGAATAAGTAGAACAGAACAGAAATTGTTTCTTGAAATTAAATCAGCATTAAGAAGATCTACACCTGGATAAGGCACAGAGAGTAGGGTAAAGTCAGCATAACGGTGGGCCTTGTCCACCTTTTCTGAGGAAGTCACACTGAAGCACAAAATTGTAAAGACAGAAATAGATCATTGAAAAAGGTGTCTCATAGACATATGAACAAAATGTAAGTCAACAAAAATTAACTCCCGCAATGTAGTTTAAAACATGTTAGTATGAAGACACATTTGAAAAATGGCAAAGGCCACAGAATAAACTGCAGTACGATAACTACAAAGCTGTCCAAAATCTGAGAGTCAGCTATTGTTGTTAATCTTTAGAGACTTCCCTGAGTAAGCGCACATGTATGTACATCAACAATCAAAGCCAAAAAGAGAAAGGTGCACATCAATGTATAACAAATTTAGAATAAAAAATAAAGACTGTCTGGTCTTTATTTTGGATCCTGATAATGGCTCTGGTTTTGGGTGTGAAAGCCAAAGCTTAATATTATTTATGACACATAATTTACTAAACATCATGTCATATTTAACAAACACATTCTAACATGAATGCAACAGAGAGTTCACTCACTTGAGGCCAAACTTGACCTTCTTATTCTCTACCATGAGGTCACAGATGTAGCATACAGACAAGTACTTCAACAGCTTAATGTCAGAGCCCCTAACCTTATCAAACAACTGTGAATCATTATTCCTGTGACAAAGAAAGACCAGAATAAGAGGAAAAAAGATTAGAAGACAAATATTTTCTTACAAAACACACACAAAATCAGTTCTGTCACAATTCACAGGAGCATGCCAAGAACCATTGTTAAACTACTGATCTATGTTTACAACTGTCTATATAATTGAAACATTTGGCTCCTTGTAAGATTGTGCTCCTTGCCAGCTTATCTTACCGAACTGCACAGTCAGCCTCCGGAACCTCTTCAGCATCACCAAAGGTGTCATCTGAACCCCCTGCAATAGTTTGAGATTAAACCTAATGCAATCCAACAAGTAATGTTCACAGCTACATCTACGCTGCCCCACAGTTTAAGCTCTCTTAGTAAATGATTGTAGCTTGAGAAGTTCAGACCATGTAATAGAAATGTTACAATAATATCTTCAAGGTATTAATCAATGGATGTAGTTTAACAAATTAACAATACATTCTATCTTAATGCAGGGGTGTCCAATCCTGCTCCTGGAGGGCCACCATCCTGCAGAATTTAGCTCCAACCCTAATTAAACAATACCTGAACCAGCTATTTAAAGTCTTCAGGCTTACTAGAAACTTTCAGGCAAGTGTGCTGGGGGAAGTTGGAGCTAAACTTTGCAGGACATTGGCCCGTCACAAGCAAGATTGGACACCCCTGTTCTAATGTATATACATACGAGTCTTTATCTCTGTAATATTTTCACAATTCGGTTTAAGTGACGGAAGCTGTGCCTTTACTGCATGATTTTTATTTGGGTTTTGCTGTCAGAGACAGATAATTGAGGTCTATGCCAAAAAACCCAGACAGCACCCAAGTAGGTGTTTGAGCTGGTTCAGTGACTAGATCTGAGCCTATGTCACAAACACTGCAATATTTTTTAAGTATGTTTGATATTACCGTCTCATAATCCTGAAGTGTGACTGCTACAGCCAATCATCTAGGCAAACAAGATAATAAAGGAGGAGAATGGAACTTCAACACAATATGTCTTGTGTGAATTTATATGAGAAAACTGATTTTTCCCATTGACCATGGATGTCTTTTGGCCTCAAGGCTTACATGAGTCCACAAACCTATGACTCTGTCCAGTTCACCAGTGGTGGATCAATAGCTTTAACTGACTGCCCAAATGAGTTACTTAATTAAAATGAATTGAATCTTTTAATGACACCAGGACCATCACAGATAGCCCACTGGCATCTGAATAACAAACTTAAATGGGTGTAAATGGCGAGGAAGGCTAGGACTTCAATGACAGGAGTTGAGGGGGGAGGTTATACTCCATTATAGGCAATTGTCCCTATTTATTTGTTGGCATATGGATGCAGGTTAGGGAACATTTCCAGTAAACAAAAAAGACAAATACTCCAACATGTTCAGTCTATTAGTAAAGAAATCCATATCTAATCTACCAAGACCTATAAGCAGTTTTTACTTTATCAACTCTAGACTGCAATATTCAAGAGAGCTTCCATATTTGCAGTACAAAGTGACTCGAGTTAAGTGTCATGTACAAATGCACAATGTCAGTGGTGAGATGAAGAGTATAAACAGTACTCAGTGCTATACAGTGATCAATTGTTTTTTTATTGCCCTTCTGGAAATGTAAACTTGTAAGGAATCACTCAAACAGAACACATTCTGTCTGCTCTATTTTTTCCATTGTTGGAGAAATGCCTTTGGCAGTTGCACAACATCTCATGGTATTTTCAGCATCTTGCAGCATGTGTCAAGTTAATATTTGTCAACTTTTGATACATCATTATGATGCTGATATAGCTCGTAGTAGCTAACAATGAATGTGTACCTGAAAAAATGTAGTTGTATCCAGTGCGTCCATAAAGTTCGCCCCAACCTGCTAAAGTGGATGATCGACACACATGCTACAATAAAGGAGAAAAAAAAAAACAGTTTAAGGTTACTAGAACTAAAACAGAAACACAGGTCCCTGGCAATGCTAACTACAGAGGAGTCTGGCTAGTTAGAAGTTCCTAGTAAATTATACCAACCTTCAAAGTCAAAGGCTGATAGTCCAGAACTCTACACTTCAGTACTAAAGATCCCGACAGCCAGATTTCACAAGAAAAAATGAAATCTGTTATTGACACTACACTGTAAAGAATTGCTGTAATTTTTACAGTAAATATTTACAATAGGCCAGATTTGTTTACTATCAATAAACCAATAACCGATCAATAACCAAATGCCTAACAGGGGGCATGTCCTACAACTATAACATAGCAGTCTATTACAAAAAATTAAACGCCAACAGAAAGCATCTGGCGGTCCAAAAAACTACTATGTGACAAATTGTTCATTGAAAATTTTCCCATTTGCTTGTGGCAAGATAGTTACCTTTCCATTGTAGAGGATGACTGGACAGACAAATCTCCCTCTACAGCGAGCCATCTTACTACGGTTCACCAGATCCTGCAACTTACTGATCTGCACAGTACTCTCAAAGCTGAATATAGATGAAGAGGAAAAAAAAAACATTTGTATACACTGGTGACAGACCAATATATAATCTGATATTTAACCATTCGAGATTCGATACACGATAACTTTGCCCACATGGCCAATTAACAGAAATAGTCATAAGAATAACAGGTATAATGCCAACATTATAACAAAAAGGTATGTCTTCAGATTTCTGGCATTACTATCAAGGATATAAGTGATGCAGTTACATTAAACAAAGTAGATCAACATTTCTATACCAGTAATTAAAAGACAATTACAATGTAGTGAGTGATAAGCAAAGTAGGTAGGCTCCTTGTGTTTGAGTAGCTACTCTAAAGTTCAATGTCTTTGTTTTAACATTTGAGTTAACAGCAATAAATGCAGACTCATATCATGGAACTGTATAATCTCAGATGCAATATCCTGATTTAATGCTAACCTAACTTTAGATAGCTTATCTCTCAAGAAAGCCCCAAATTCACCTACATTTAAAGTTGACAAAAAAATTCCAAATGGTATCTGGGTGATAGTTCAAAGAATTGTCAGAATCCAAGGGTTGTTTTGGTTCTTCGAGACCAGAGCTGCTCAGATTGCATCATTTAAAATGGACTGGTGTCATCTTAACATCATCATGTCATGTCATCAACTTTGAAAAATTGTCTTTAGTTACATTCAGCTTTTTTGCAATTCCTTTTAAGGTTTATAATTAGGGCTGTCAGTTTAACGCATTAATTTAATTAATTTGTTATGGAAAAATAACGCAATTAAAATAACGCAGTTATTAAAATATTTTAAAGCAGTTTAATGCAGAACATTTTGTAATATCTATTTCATACTTTTCTCATGTAACAATAATGGCTTTTAAATTATCATTTGTGAGTAATTGCTCAGCCAAATTTGATGTGTGATTGTTATGCGATTAATTAGATTTATTAATCGCCACATTGTGTAATTAATTAGGTTACAAATTTTAATCAATTGACAGCCCTATTTATAATATATCTCTCACTACACTTGACCTCCACTCGAAATCAACAAGTTCATCCACGATTAATTCTGGCACCACTATTCAAAACATTCTATACCAGAGCATCCTTCTATGCAATACAATACTGGAAGTCTTTAAGGATAAAGGCACAGTCACACTAGACTTTCAGCATGCAATTTTTTTTTTCCAGACATGATATTATGTCATCACCTGTGGTGACTATTTTAAAAACATAAATTTAACATGTAACCAATAATTATTAAATCTAAAATGTAAAGATATATAATCTATAGTGCTGTCAATCGATTAAAAAAATTAACCAATTAATCACACTTTTTTTTCTGCGATTAATCACGATTAATCCCACCTAACATTAAAGTTTTTAAATATACTTTTATATTGCAATAATTTCACATTCAGTCTTCAAATTAATGTAGAAACAACATAAAGGCAGTATATTTTTTATATTTGTTTAACGGCATCTTTTTTATGACTGAAGGCGAGTATCACTGATACCAACAATACTACTGATGTCTCTAGGAAACTTTTTTCCCCCTAATATTTAACCATTGACTATAGCCATTCAACATTACAGTATAATTGAGAGCTATCAATTTTAACATTTATTAGACTTTAAAGAAAAAACTTTTAATATAAGTCTACACATAAACCCTATAATAAATGTCATATTTACCTGTGCCCTTCAGCAAGTAGGAAATATTCAGAAATTGAATAAAGCTATCAAACACTAAATTCTAAATTAAATATTGATGAATCCTTAAAGCTACAAAAGTTATTGATTTCCTCTTTTTTTTTTTTTTTTTTGTTCTTTGATGAACAGACATCACAGCAGCTGGGTTGCTGCTTTAAGAGTTGTCGCTGCTAAACATCACGCAGATCTGACAAGCATCATCATTTCTCACAACTCTTTGCCTTTTCTGACCCACTTCAGGTCTTAAAGTCTCTACTAATGAGCTGACGAGTTGAATTGGGTGTGTTAGATAAGGGAGACAGTGCTGGGCTCCTCCAGGACAGTTTTAAAAACCACTGCATTTCAGACATGTTCTTAAATGTGATTCATATAAATGCATGCATAGTTTTAAGGCATCTTTAATCGCCTTTTTGGTAACTTCATGACTTAACTGACGACATAACTACGACATTGCATGCTCGTGGTTTCATTTACACTTTAATATTATATTATACACAGCGTGCCGCCGCAATTGAAGAGCAGTGCTACGAGCACAGTATAACGGCTGACAAGACGGGAAAATTCTATTTTACTGACATATGGCCTGACAACATCTCATCTGACTGCAGTTCACTCTTGTTCTACTGAATCTCCTCGTCACCTGTACCTTTTCACACTCATTTGACTAGCGCCTGGCGCTGAGGTGAAGTTGCAGTGCGTGTCTGAAAAGTGAGTGGGGTGGCCAACCCTAGCTCCGCCCCTGCGTTAATTGGGTTAAATATTTTTAACGCGTTAAACTGAAAAAATTAATTGCATGCATTAACACGCTAATTTTGACAGCACTAATAATCTACTCTACTTTCCTGCAATACTACAAACCTGCAGCTTTCTTCTATTGGTCATGCGACTTCAAGTGATGCAAATTCACAGGTCAGAGTTCAAAGAGTTTAAAGAGTTTTTTGTTTTTAATACTCCATGTAGGGTTTTGTGTAGTGTGTTGCTCCCGACAAAGAGTTGTAGTGCTCGTGGGGACCTGGGTACAAGTCCTGGGTCATGTCCCTGTCCCATTTCCTGTCTACCACTACTTTCCTGTCAATTCTACACTGTCCTATGTAGTAAAAGGCAAAAATCCAATGAACAAAACAGGATTACTAGAAACTTAGATTTAGGATTTAGATGTATATCATTAAAAGAAAATTACAGCATAAAAATGAACACAGAAATGTAGTCTTTATTACTGAAATTCTGAACCATGTTACAGCAGAATTTGGCTAGTAGGCTATAAGTAAATTAATGTGTAGTCGCATAATATGACATTTACCCTTACTGATAAAATAACAAGCATTCAAATTTATAAATGTACTGTAAGTAGTTTTGACAGGCTGTGCATTTCAACATTTATCTGATAATGGTTGATGTTTCAGACCTCACATAACTGTCAACGGTGATAAAAAAAATTTAAATATCTTATGTAAATAATCATTATCTAAAATGCTTACATAAAATATATAAGAAATAATTTTATCTAAAATGATGAATACAGACCAAAACAAAAAAACAAAAACAAATACAACAAACCATACAAATTAACATTTTTATTTTTATATTTTTAATTTTGTGTGAGCGTATTGAAACTTGTCATACATAAGTAGTGACACATTTAGATGAAACATGAGCTCACTGATGTAATTTAATCGGTCTGCCATTTTTTTCCCCACTGGTTACTCCTGCTTAAGAGGCTTCCATAAAAATGTAGTTGATATGTGGTGTACGTTTCAACTAATGTGCAACGCTTAAAAATGTACTAGAGCATAAATTGTAAATTACTACATCTTTAGGCCCACAACTTTTAACTTTTGCACAGCTAGTGCAACCAGCCCTTGTGAAGGCATATGTCATTGGAAGTACAGCAATATAGTAATCAACCATGTTGATAATGTTCTTCTTTTACTATAAAAATCATGGTATCTTTTAGGGTTGTGCCGATAGACAATAGTATTGTGTATCAACGATAGTCTGAGATATCACCTGTGGCTGATGCCCTTGACAATAGCAAGACGATTATTATTATTATTATTAGGCTAGTAATGCCATCTAATTAATATTAGGGCTTATTTGTTCCATCATATATCTTTTTCCATGCTTTTACAGTGTTATAACCAATCACACTCGATGCCGTTGTGTTTGAGTGTTTTTCAAAGTGCATAAACTCGAGCTAGAATGAAGTCATGTTCTTTTTTGATAATGTAAATGTTCTTTGCTCGTTGCTGAGGAACTGAGGAAATGTAAGCATTATAATTAGTAACTTACAATGTTTCTATTAAATTGTTATCATGTTAAATACAAATTCATATTAAAAATATTTTATGACATGATATTCTATGACAATATTTTATAACATTAGGCTGCTTTTTAGCCCCTGGAGTTGGTCCAATCTCCGGCTATGAAACAAAGTAAATAATTAAATAAATTAGCATGATAATATTATGTATCGGCGATCTCACAGGCTGACACTAGATTTATAAGACTATAAAGCATATCGCCCAACACTAGTATCTTTCAAGAATCTATTTTCAGAGAAATAAGGCAAAACATAAATATTAGGGCTGTAGCTATCGATTATTTTAGTAATCGAGTATTCTACAGATTATTCCATCGATTAATCGAGTAATCAGATAAGAAGCCATTTTTCTTTATTAAAGAGCAATACTAAATATACAAGAGATAAGATAGATCTCGTAAAATAAACAACTAATTTGTTTTCTTTTTAGAAAAATTTTTATTTTTATTGCTGAAATTGCATACATTAAAGGTACAATAGGAGATCTTGGAAAATGCTAACTTTAGCCTGATAGCACTGAAAGCGAACGTCCCACCCTTCCTGCAATCGCCGTCCAAAGCCACGCCCCCTGAACGCATTTACACTCACAGACCAGAGACAACATTACTACAATAGGCTACATCAGGTTCCCAATTCCAGCCCATGTTCCGAAGTGAAGTAAACTTCAACGGATTTCCCCTGCTCAGGGAGTAGGGAGCAATGAACTCCGTGTAGGGATCATATCCATCGGAACACAGTTCATGCACGTAGCTCACTTCTAACGAGCTGGCGCGAGGACAGGATTAACCGCTGGGCTACATCATGTGTCATTCACCAGTGAGAAATCTTTAAAAGTACTGCAATACCAGGAAGGAAGATCGGCTTGTTGATGTTTGCCTGCCATCCTCGCTCGCTTTTTTGAAAAGGCTGGTTCCTGTTTTTATACAGTCTATGGTCTGGTCCAGCGTTTATCGGGTTGTGCGTCAGTAATAATGGTCCGTGGGGAAACACGGTGTTCCATGTGTAGTTACAGTAAATGGACTAAACAAAACCTCAAAGCAAATAATTTGCCTCGATGATTTTTTGTATTCGAGTTACTCAAGGTATTCAAGGAATCGTTTCAGCCCTAATAAATATAAAGTGCTTCTTTACAAAACTGACTATTTTGACAACATAACTAACAACTAGTCTGTCTACTGTGTGTCTTCAGTAGACTAAAAGAGACAGGGATGTTTTTACCTCTCTTTATTGTTGTCTGAAGATTCATATTCCAGAAACACAATCTTCCGTGGGTAGTGACCACACACGTCCCCATTGGTGTTGTGGATGATACTGTACTTGTAGTCCCGGTCAAACAGCTCCAAACAGCGCTCCTCTATTCTCTCTACCTGAAAATACATATATACAATTTTCATAAAAACATTCATAAAGCAAAAAAAAGAACAAGAGCAAGTTCAACCCTCTAAATTCAGCAACAATCAGAAACAGATATGACTCATAAATTAATCAGTCAATTAGAATAAAAGACATTTAGGCTGTTACCAAACAAATGATATCAGTATCAAAATTAATCTTTGCAATGCAGAGGAAACGCAGAAGCTATGGGATGAATTTTTCCCACACAGAGGGACATGAATGCATTTAACCTGCAGTTACAAATGCATAAATAATATTTTGTTATTTTAAACATAAAACATTGAATACTGATATTTA